TCTTATAATAATAATAATAATAATAATAATAATAATTATTATTATTATTATTATTATTATTATTATTATTATTATTATTATTATTATTATTATTATTATTATTATTATTATTATTATTATTATTATTATTATTATTATTATTATTATTATTATTATTATTATTATTATTATTATTATTATTATTATTATTATTATTATTATTATTATTATTATTATTATTATTATTATTATTATTATTATTATTATTATTATTATTATTATTATTATTATTATTATTATTATTATTATTATTATTATTATTATTATTATTATTATTATTATTATTATTATTATTATTATTATTATTATTATTATTATTATTATTATTATTATTATTATTATTATTATTATTATTATTATTATTATTATTATTATTATTATTATTATAATAAAATTGTCATTGACTCTAATTGTACTTTCAATGGCATTACAATTTCATAAATGTATTGTCAACGTCAGTATTACGTTGATGTACTGTCAGTGACAGTATAATTACGTTAATTTACTGTCAGTGATAATATAATTATCGTTAATGACGACACAATTACGGTCAACGTTTAGCGGCGGGTAAAAGAAAAGAGAAAAGAAAAAGAAACACTAACAAAAGTCAACGCCGGAGACCGGCGGTCAACGCCAGAATCCGGCGGCGAAAAAAACAGACTAGAAAAAAAAAGTCAACGCCGAAATCCGACGGCCGAAAAAACTGACCAGAAAAAAAAAATTCGAAAATTGAATGGCGAAAATTGGCGGCAAAAAAAAAATTTGGAAAAAAAAAAGTAAAAATTGTATTTTTTTGATCAAAATTGATTAAATTGGGGTTAGAATTAAGAATTGGGTGTAAAGGGTTGATGGTTATTTTGTCATATACATGAATTTTATCCTTTATTTATAATAAATATTAAAGAGATGGGCTTATTGGTGAAAGAGATATAGCCCATAAACCTAAAATAATAAAGATGGTTGGTTAGGGACTTATGAACAAAAACCCCCTTCAAAATATTGTAATTTGGGTTTTAGATTATTTTGTTAAAGTATAGAAGCAAAATATTATGAAAGTTAAAAAATAATATTTTTTTATTTTTTTATTTTTTATACGGGTCAGAACCATTTAATTCGGGTCTAGGTCTGGGTCTAAGCTGAAGCGAGTTGGGAGGGTCTGAGTATTATATATTTTTCACGGATCGAGTCTTCAGTTTAGGCAAACCCGACCCTGAACCGACCCATTGCCATCCCTAAAGTTGAGGTGGACCCCCAACCTATCAATAGATCATAATTTAATGAGTACATATAGAGTTTCAGA